AGTGTCATATCTTTACATTTTCCTGGAAAAATATCCTTTTTTTTTCCCCAGTAGGAATAGATTTCTATCAGCAACACTCAGGCTCAGCAAGTTCCCACAGAACTATAGCATTCTGGCTTACAAAATATATGTAGGAGGCCCCTGTTGTGCAAGTTTACAGGATCAGTGCTGCCCCAGCGCAGCCTCAGCCCGGTTTGGTGCAGCTTTCTCTCTGGTCCAGATCAGCAGTTTGGGATCTAATCTCCTGGGCTGCCAAGGACTGATAAGAAATATTTCTGTACGACTGCTCAGCAGGAGGCCTTCGCTTCTCTTGTGCTCATGTTCTGTAAGGACAGGGCTGTGCTGCATTCCGAAACGCCACACGCAGTGTGTTATCTGCAGCTTGTCACAAGGCAGGAAAACATAAGAGCAGGGATAGGACATGGCCTTAGCCTGAAGGACAGGAGATTGAGATGAGCTCTTAGGCAGAAGCTCTTCCCTGTGAGGGTGCTGAGGCGCTGGCACAGGGTGCCCAGAGAAGCTGTGGCTGCCCCATCCCTGGCAGTGCTCAAGGCCAGGTTGGACACAGGGGCTTGGAGCAAGCTGCTCCAGTGGAAGGGGTCCCTGCCCATGGCAGGGGTTGGAGCTGGAGGAGCTTTAAGGTCCCTTCCAACACAAACCAGTCTCTGACTCTATGAAGAAGGCCAATTGGTACAGTTAATGCAGTGCATAAGCAACCAGACTCCTGTGCTCAGTACCTATGTTATAAACTGGCTGCACTTCTAACCAGGGCAGGGACCCCACCTCCAGGAGGTAACGCTGTGACCCAGGGACGTTCTCCAGCCCCATGCACGCCGAGGAGCTGGGGCTCGGCCCCTGCCCTCCTACCTCTCCTGCGCCTCTTCCTCTCGGTGATGGGCCCCCACAGCACGTACATCCCCGCGGCCAGCGCCGCCGCCACCCCCCCGATAACGCCCCAGTTCTTCATCGCTTTGTGCCTGTAACGGGAACACAAACCAACACCACCGGGGGTCGGTACCTCCGCCTGCACCGACACGGGGCCAGGGGCCCCGGAGCAACGGGCGGCGGCGGGCGCTGGTCGCTAAGGGACGCGCGGGCCTGCGCCATGAGCCGGTACCGGAGCGAGCCGCGCTCACCGGCACCCGCGGGGTTAACGTGGGGCGTGAGGACAGGCCAAGGGGAACGGCTTTAACCTGCCCCAGGGGAGGCTGAGATGAGCTCTCAGGCACAAGCTCTTCCCTGTGAGGGTGCTGAGGCGCTGGCACAGGGTGCCCCGAGAAGCTGTGGCTGCCCCATCCCTGGCAGTGCTCAAGGACACAGGGGCTTGGAGCAAGCTGCTCCAGTGGAAGGGGTCCCTGGATGAGTTTTAAGGTCCCTTCCAACCCAAACCAGGCTGGGGTTCTATGGTTGAGGGCCCAGCTCCACTTGCTCTCTCCCAATCTCGTGCTGTCTGTTTTTAACAGAGGCACTCTGCAGTTGTTTAGAGCAAGAAGCACTCCACGCCCGTGCCAGGAGAGGAGCACCGGGAGCGCTTCAGGCACATGCAGGTTGAGCGCACCTCGAGATGGCCGCTGCGGGCCTGGCAGGTAACAGGCTCCTTCCTCACACACGTTAGTGCCAGTGTAGAGCTTGGATAGCGCAGTGTCTGGTACACACTGTATACATGTACAGCGTCTGTGTGTCCTGGAGGAGTCCTGACGCTGCTCCGCCTGTGCCAGAGGATGGTGGCAAGAGGGGAGCAGTCTGGAGAGCAAGGGACCAGACAGCACAGGGGTGAGAGGCGCAGGGCAGCAGCAAAGAGGAGGGCGTGAGGCCATGAAGTCATCCCGACGGCTGCAGTGTCTGTGTGCAGTGTACCATCCTCACAGCTGCACGTTAACTACACAGGAGAAAGGAAGCAGTGTGCCCAGAGGACCCAGCCTCACACCTCCAACTCACTGGACCTTCTTGAGGAAAGAAGTCATGCAGCTGCTGTGTTCTACACCAAGAGCTGCGGTTTGGGCAACGAACGCAAAAGCTAAAGCTCTGCTTGAAAAAAATGCCATTTTCTAGCAACTTTTGGGGAGAAGCAGCCCAGAGTCTCTGTGAGCTCATGTTCTGGGTATAAATCTGCCCCTGGAGCTGGGGCAGGCTGCTTGGTGAGACCTGAGCTCTGCTCCCCTCCAGAACCTTCTGCGCAGGAACTCCTCCCATTGCACTGACTTCATCAGCAGGATCTCACCCTGGGAATCAGGGCACACCTCTTGGATCATGTCAAGCATTGAGCTACGGTTTCTGTAACCCGTATTTTAACAGGAAACCTAAATCTCGACAATCAGGAAGGTGCTGGCAGACCAGTTTTATCTACCGAGGCCTTTTGCTTTCTAGTTGCTTAAGGGCCAGGCTGACTTTCATTGCAAAAGAACCCCTCAGCTCCCTTTATGGCAACAAATCAGTGGCACGAGGGGGTTCTTCAGCCCAAAGGCCTCACCACCCAATTGAAAGGGAAGTGAAAGGGTGCGGAACCAAAGAGACAGGTTGTTTATGGAGACCGGTGTCTCAGTGGCAAGAGAGGTGACAGAGACCAGAGAGCAGAGGGAAGCAGCAAACCCATCCTGGACACGGTCTCAAAGCTTGTTCTCTGAAAGAGCCTGGGTTTGAAATGGTTTTGAGAATCTATTGCAATGTATGTATGCATTCCATGCTATTAAAATTGGGGTTTATCACACTTGTAGGGTGTTATTATTCAGTGAAAGAGCCCTCGTGCCGGAGGTACCCACAGAGTCCTGTGTGATCCACAGGGGTACATGGGTACCTCAAACGGAGCCAGTGTCTATGTGTAGACATCCAGATCCACTCCTAGGCACAAACAGTGCATTAAACAATTGTCCTCAGTGTTTTAAGGAAGCTGAAACCACAGCTGGGGCAGCTGCAAGCTTGTATGTCCTAAAACCTGGGAGAGTGCCACAAACGGTATCTGTGTGACAGCTGAACAGCCCCCATTCGCCAGCTGAAGCCTGTTTGGTGTGTCTGAGCTCAGGCCAAGCCTCTTGCATCATCCCTTGTTCCCTGGTCTGGATTTCTCCAAAGCCCCTCTCCAGGTTTCCTGCAGCCCCTTTAGGCACTGCGCGCTCTACGGCCTCTTGCAGATCACCGGCAGGATCCATCCCTGCGCTCTGTAATAACGGGATTTGCTGCGAGGCCCTGCCCGGTGTCCTGCAGTGTCCCCGGCAGAGCCCTCGCTGCCCCCCCGGAGCGGGTGCATCCCAATCGGCTCGGCTTTCCCCGGCCCCTTCCGTTCCTCCCGGGCTGACGCTCCCCGGCTCACTGCCATCGGTGCGCGGCCGGCACTCGCTGAGCCCCCAGGGGGCGAGGACCGGCGCTGAGCCGGGAGCCCGGCTGGCAGCCAGCGGGGCAGGGACCGGGACCGGGACCGGGACAGCGACCGTCGGCTGCCTGACGGGAAAAGGCTGGCTGCCGAGCCGAGCCGTGCCGAGCCGAGCCGAGCTGAGCCGTGCCGAGCCGAGCCGAGCCGAGCCGTGCCGAGCCGAGCCGTGCCGAGCCGAGCCGAGCCGAGCCGTGCCGAGCCGAGCCGAGCCGAGCCGTGCCGAGCCGAGCCGTGCCGAGCCGAGCCGTGCCGAGCCGTGCCGAGCCGAGCCGTGCCGTGCCGAGCCGAGCCGTGCCGAGCCGTGCCGAGCCGAGCCGTGCCGTGCCGAGCCGAGCCGTGCCGAGCCGAGCCGAGCCGTGCCGAGCCGAGCCGTGCCGAGCCGAGCCGGGCCGGGCCGAGCCGAGCCGGGCCGAGCTGAGCCGGGCTGAGCTGGATGGGGCCAGGCTGCTCTGAACCGAGCCGGGCTGAGCCGAGCGGAGCCGGGCTGCGCCGCACCGAGCCAGGCTGAGCCTAGTGGAGCAGGGCTGCTCCGAACCGAGCCGGGCTGAGCCGAACCGAGCCGGACTGAGCCTAGTGGACCCGGGCTGAGCCGAGCAGAGCCGGGCTGAGCCGAGCAGAGCCAGGCTGAGCCGAGCAGAGCCAGGCTGAGCCTAACCGAGCCAGGCTGAGCCGAGCAGAGCCAGGCTGAGCCTAACCGAGCCAGGCTGAGCCGAACCGAGCCGGGCTGAGCCGAACCGAGCCAGGCTGAGCCGAACCGAGCCGGGCTGAGCCGAACCGAGCCAGGCTGAGCCGAACGGAGCCGGGCTGAGCCTAGTGGAGCCGGGTTGAGCTTAGTGGAGCCGGGCTGAGCCGAGCGGAACCGGGCTGAGCCGAACCGAGCTGGGCTGAGCCGAGCGGAGCCGGGCTGAGCCGAACCGAGCCGGGCTGAGCCGAACCGAGCTGGGCTGAGCCGAACCGAGCCCAGGCTGAGCCTAGTGGAGCCGGGCTGAGCCGAGCGGAGCAGGGCTGCTCCGAACCGAGCCGGGCTGAGCCGGGCTGGGCTGAGCCGAGCAGAGCAGGGCTGAGCCGGGCGGAGCCAGGCTGAGCCGAACCGAGCCGGGCTGAGCCGAACCGAGCCAGGCTGAGCCGAGCGGAGCAGGGCTGCTCCGAACCGAGCCGGGCTGAGCCGAACCGAGCCGGGCTGAGCCGAGCTGGGCTGAGCCGAGCGGAGCCGGGTTGAGCCGGGCGGAGCCAGGCTGAGCCGAACCGAGCCAGGCTGAGCCGAACCGAGCCAGGCTGAGCCTAGTGGAGCAGGGCTGAGCTTAGTGGAGCCGAGCTGAGCCGAACCGAGCCGGGCTGAGCCGAGCGGAGACAGGCTGCGCCGAACCGCGCCGGGCTGAGCCTAGTGGAGCCGGGCTGAGCCGAGCTGGGCTGAGCCGAGCGGAGCCGGGCTGAGCCGGGCTGAGCCAGGCTGAGCCGAACCGAGCCAGGCTGAGCCTAGTGGAGCAGGGCTGAGCCGGGCGGAGCCGAGCGGAGCCGAGCCGAGCTGACCCGAGCGGAGCCGGGCTGAGCCGGGCGGAGCCGAGCTGGGCTGAGCCGAGCCGAGCTGACCCGGGCGGAGCCAGCCGGAGCCGAGCTGTGCTGAGCCGAGCGGAGCGGAGCCGCTGCCGCGCGGTTCGCTGCCGCCGCCGGAGCTGTCCAGCCGCCTCCCGCAGCCCCAGCCAGCCCCGCCATGCGGGAGCGATGAGAGCAGCGCCCGCAGACGCAGCCCGGCAATGGAGGATGATTTATTCCAGCTCAGACAGCTGCCGTGAGTAGCGGCCGCAGGGGAGCGGGAGGCGCGGGGGGATTGGGGGATCCCGGCGGTTTTCCCGAGCGTTATCCCGAGGCAGCGCCTTTAGGCCCCGGGAAGCAGGCCATTTTCCTTGTGCCGCTGCCCGGGTTCAGCATCCCGGGGGCACGCAGGGATCCCTTCGTTATATAAACCCACTCAAGCTGCATTTTTTGCACCAACTTGGCCGTGGTAGAAATGGGAAAGGGTGGGATAAAACAGTGGGAGCCCCAAAGGGTTTTATCTGGGCGGAAGCATTCCCATTGCATTTGCAAGGTGGGTTGCATCCGTAAATAACGCTGTGCTGGGGAAGGCATCTTCCCGGCTCCCTCCTTCATGCCATGAACTGATGGCAGCTCGGAGCCCTTTTGCAGAGGTGTGTTTGGGGTGAGTAGCACCGACATTTGCCCGCTGCATGTCTCGGAGAAGCCAACATTGCTGCACCAGGAAGATGCTGGTATTCCCGAGAGCTCTCTGCTGTTGGGATGTGGTTGCTGGATCTGTGCAGAAAGGTGATAAAAGCCTCTTCACACCAGCGTTTCCTTTCCTCTTCGGGAACGCAAAATGCTGCCTTTAAAAACTGTTCTCCTAATGCTCCGTTATCAGGTGCTTTAAAGCATATTCCTATCTATAAATCCTTCACTTCGAGGCAGGGAATTAATGCGTAAAGTCGATTTGAAATATTAATGAGCTCATGTCAATGACGGAGCCAAGTGTCCCATAACGTTCCCAATAAGCTGGGGAAAAGGAGAGGCTCCCCGGCTGTTTGCAGATGCTTGGTTTGGGTGCTGTCAGCTCGGCAGCGGAAGGAATGAACCAGGATTTCCCGAGGCCATTTTCCCCCATTCTTATTTTCCTGATAACCCACCGAAAGCTGTGGGTGTGATGAGACGTGCTCGGTGCTGCGGGACCCTGCAAACAGATGCAGCTCTCTCCGACATCCCAGCTACCAGGAATCCTGCAGGGATGGAGCAGGGAATGCCGCTGGGTGCTGCTTTCTTCCTTTGTGTCAGTTTGTCTCATAAAGTTCCTAAGTGCTGAACATGTGTTTGCTGTGATGGGGGATGTGGCCGGAGAGCTCTGTGCTCGCACTGCTTTTGGAGTACTTACAGCTTTCAGGTCAGTCGCTTGTGTAGCGTCTGGAGCCACCCGAAAGTCCCCTTCGAACACAGAATACAGGGCAGTTGTGATCGGGTGCTTTAGAATCCAGAAGGATATTCTTGGCACCTTTATTTCACCTGTGGCTTGCAACAGCTGCCAGTGTAGGTTGTACGAATGATTTCCAGGCATATCCCATGGAGTGACAGCGCTTCAGACCTCCTAAATCCAGGGAAAAGGTGTCCATCTCTTCAGTGAGCTTTGCACCCAGCTGCTGGGTTACAGCAATAGTCATCCTGTTAAAAAAACACACATAGAAAAGTTTGCATCCTGTGTAGTTAAACCAGGGGCTTGTGAAGCTCTTGCAAATAAGACTTGAATGGGACTTGGATATTCATTGCTCTTTGTAATAGAAAGGTCATTTGTGGGCAGCCACGTTTCAGTGTGTGTTTGCTGAGAGGGTGTATTTTGTAGGTCGTATGAGGACTGTATCTTCACTTTTAAGGTGAGAGTGATGATTCCTTGTATTTGCCTATAGGCTCAGCAAAAGAAACTCCAAACCAAGGTTAAAACCCAAGAGAATTTAAACTTGAGGTTCCCAATGGAACCAAGTAAGAACCTGAACCCAGAGGAGCTTCCTTGTTTATCTCTTAAGTGAGTGGAGGATGGCTGCACACCTCAGTCAGAACCCGAGATAAGCCCTAGCTTCACTGCAGTCAGTGATGCTTTCCTGTTCATTTTGAAGAGCCCTGAGGTTTTGTTCTGTCTTCTCCTGTCTGAGACCTTCAAATGTTACCTGAGAAAACACAGTTTGTGTCTCTCTGGTTTCTCTGCCAAGGTGTAGAGGACAGAGAAAAGCTTCCAGTTCCTGCTGCAGATAGAGCATTGCTAAATAGCACAAGGAGTGGTTGCCCCATGCAGGTTTTGGAATGCCCTGTTTAGCTGAAAGAATCACCCCGGTCATCTCAAAGCCAGCAAAGCAGCTTGTTCTGAAGGTGAGAACCTCCCCAAATGGTCAACGGGCTGCTCTCTCCATCCAGGTTACTGCCAGAATACCATTAGTGAGTATGTGCAGCTCCCCCGATGGGAGGGGGTCATGGAAATCCTATGTATATGTGGCAGGACCTGAGGATGCTGGTTTGTATCACCATGTTTGTACCAGAGTGTGATCCTAAGCTGGGCTGAATGGCTGGTGATGGCCAAGGCTTCTCTTTGTAACTGAGGGTGACTGAGGTGTTCATTCCTCCATCCTCTTGTCCACCACTGGGCCAAGGTCCATTTACAGGAACAGATTGCCCATCACTGTGCCCTTGTATTGAATATTACTTGTGTCACCAGTGCTTGTAAGAGAAAGTAAGAGTTGAGATCTTGCCAAGCAGGAAAAGTCTTTCAGCTCACGCTTACCAATGTCACTCCATTGCTGCAGCTGCACTTGGCAAGGGTGCCGATAGTCTGGTTTTGCTGACCCTTAAACCAAAGGATTAAGCTGGAGTTCAAGAGGCTCTCTGCTACTCTGTCATGGAATTAAATGCTCGGGTGTTGGAAGTCAGAAGAGGCAGTAGCAGGACTCGCTTTATCTATTTCCAATGAACTCTTTCACTGAAGTCCAAGGAACTGTCAGTTTCCGAGGTGAGAGTTACACCGATGTGTAAGGGGCAATGGCTTGAACCTGCCCGAGGGGAGACTGAGATGAGCTCTTAGGCAGAAGCTCTTCCCTGTGAGGGTGCTGAGGCGCTGGCACAGGGTGCCCAGAGAAGCTGTGGCTGCCCCATCCCTGGCAGTGCTCAAGGCCAGGTTGGACACAGCGGCTTGGAGCAAGCTGCTCCAGTGGAAGGGGTCCCTGCCCGTGGCAGGGGTTGGAGCTGGAGGAGCTTTGAGGTCCCTTCCAACCCAACCCATTCCATGGTCCTATGATCACAAACACAGCTTGACCTGGAACAGACCCACTGCAGCGTGAATCCTTGTTTGTGTGCTCTTAGGGTGGTCAAGTTTCGCCGCACTGGGGAGAGTTCGAGGTCGGATGAGGATGTCATTTCAGGAGAACATGAAATCCAGATTGAGGGTGTTCGGACAGAGCTAGAGCCGATCGAGCTGGAGGATGGAGCTGCGGTGCCAAAGGAATTTGCCAACCCGACTGATGGTGAGTGGGTTTCTGATCTCCTGTGAGGTTTGGCCTCTTCATTGCAGTCATGTTGCAACCAGGATAATCCACTGGGTTTAGAGATGGTAAAGATCTCCAGATGGAAGCAGGTATCAACAACACAGGCAAATCATGTTACACCTGAAACCCATGATTTAGTTACCTCTATCTTTGAGGGATGCTTCATGTGGTTTGGGTTTGTATTACCAGTAATAGGCCCTTTGGAGGAGCTGTGTGTCCCGTTGTCACCGCCTCTTTTGTACAGGAGGTTTGACTTAGGCTCCTTTGGAACTGATCAGAGCTCCTTAAACACTGCCAGGTTTGCACATGGCTCAGGCTGAGCGTGGAGCCTCTGCAGTGCTCCTGCCTCCTCCTTGCCTAGAGGACAAGAGGGACAGAATGAATGCACATCCCAGCCTCTCTCTGCACCCGGCAGAGCAGTGCTGGCTGCCCTGAAGGCACCACCGATTCAGAAGTGTTGGTTTTCCCTTAGGAATACTAACATTTTATAGGATGACTTTTCCCAGGGACTCATTTATGAACATATTGATGCGGTAGGAAGCCAGAATAACCTGGCATGAGCTCAGTGATTTTCTCAGAGGACTCAGGGCATCAACTCTGCACTTCTGTGTAGACTTTCAGCTGGCACATTGCCCACAAGAAGTGCAAGTGATGCTACAGTGGTGCAGAGCTTCGGGCTCAAGTCACAGACTGGGGTCTTGTGACATCTCTGCTTGGTTTTAGCAGTCAGTCTTTGGTTGAGTTGCTTTGTGGTTTTCTCTATGGCTTTGTGAGGATGCCCAGCTCTGGGCTTTGCTGTGTCAAACGTACTCCTTAAACTGCTGGAGGGGTTAAAGCGTTGAGGCTTAGATTGGTTTAGACAACCTGAATGTCAAACTGTGCATACCGTATGCGTGTATTATAGTTCCTGAAGAACATAGAGCTTTCCTTGACTAGGAACTGTATAAAGCTAAGTAGCTCTCTGTTATATATTTTAGATCCCAGTAGAGTGCCCAGTAATTGCATTCACAGCAAATCCTCTCTCAGGGGATGGCTCCTCAAGGAAAGGAACACACTTCTGCACTGGATTTGTTTTCTTCCTAGACACTTTCCTGGTGGAAGATGCGGTGGAAGCCATTGGCTTTGGAAAGTTCCAGTGGAAGCTCTCTGTTATTACTGGATTAGCATGGGCAAGTAATTGTTATCAAAGTCAGTGGCATGATTGTCAGTTAGAGAACCTCAGTGTTGCCTCTCTATGCTGTGTACATCCACTGAACCTCTCCTGTTTTACCTGCGGGGTGGGAACGGTGCAGGGCAGAAGCAGGGATAATCTCAAGAAGGTTTGTTATTGGCTGCTGTGTCAACCTAATTCTTGTTTCTTTTTCACCTCTCTAGATGGCAGATGCTATGGAAATGATGATTTTAAGCATCCTAGCTCCTCAGCTTCATTGTGAGTGGCGATTACCGAGCTGGCAGGTTGCATTGCTCACATCGGTAGGAAAAATCGCTGACAGCTCCTGTGTTCTGTAAGGTTTTTGCACTCATTGTTATGCAGACATCATGCTGTGTATCCCAGGGTTAAATCTGTTCATGGCCTTTCGGACTGCCTTTGGTTTGGAAGAATATAGGAGTCCCTTTTGAAAGCCAGAGGTTGAAGAAATGAAACTCAGTGAGAACTGAGGAAATTCTGCAAGTTTTTGGTTCAAAGTTTCATGTGATTGACTCAGACTCATCCGAAAATTCAAATAATTTGATTCAGTGAATAAAGACTGGTAAAGTTTTCCATCTTTCTTGAAAACCTTTCTCTCTCACCACACTTAATCTTCCTTGGTCATAGACACACCGGAGGCTGTGAGAGAGCACAAGCAATCACTGTTTGGGGGGGATCATCCAGTGATCTTTGCAAGCAGAGCTTTTATGATACCACCTCCAAGCAGGATGCTGTGATGCTGGAAACATGCAATGCCCTTAGGGATGAGACAACTAGTCTGGGGACCCTTCTCGCAGCATATGCCACTTTAGCTATTGATGCCATTTGTGTTGTGTAAATTGCTTCTGTTCCAGTAGGTTTAAACCCGTTCAGATCCCGGATTCTCTTTGCTGCCGCATGGATATTTGCACTTGCCTTGTGGTTAAGGGGAAGGCTTTTTCTCTGTTGCATAGGTGGTGTTTGTGGGAATGATGTCCAGCTCCACCCTCTGGGGAAACATCTCAGACCAGTATGGCAGGAAAACAGTAAGGCTTCAGCTCCTACTCCAATACGTTCTGATGTTTCTAGTGTGGGTATTTCAGCGCATGATGGTGACGAATGCCATAGTCTGCATGCATTAAACAGAGCAGAATAAACCTCCCATTAAATAAAGGGAATTTGAGGCTCTGCTTTGCGTTTTGTTACTTTGTGTTGCAGCAGAAACTCATCTCCTCGTGCCCGTTTGTTAAATGCAGGGCCTGAAGATCAGCGTCTTATGGACCCTCTACTATGGGATCCTCAGTGGTTTCGCCCCGGTGTACAGCTGGATCCTGGTGCTGCGGGGCCTGGTGGGCTTTGGGATTGGAGGAGTGCCTCAGTCGTAAGTAAATATTCACAACCCAGCCTTTCTCTTTTCTATGTGTTTCTATAGGTGCTTAGTGTTCAATTGCAGCCATGTGTCTGTTCAGTTGTCCCAAACCCGGTTTATTCTAAGTGTTTTAGAACTAATATATTAAACTCTGAGAAGGCTTTGAGCCTAATGTACTGAGGTGAATCAGATTTACAGACTTCTGTGTGAGCAAGCAGGGTTCTTAACTGTGTCATGTTATATGCCTTAAGTCCTTTTAAGCTTCTCTCATTCCCTCATGGTGAAAATGAGAGGCCCAAAGAGCCCACCCTGAAGCGGGTAAAACACCCCAGACTGCATTGCTACATCATACAGGCAGAGTCCATAAGGGACAACACGCTCTTGTTGCAGCACAGATCGAGCCCTAAACTCCATAGGGTACAGCTGAGCCCTTCCTCTGGGCTGTAAAACTGCAGGTTATTGTTCAGTCAGAGCCTGAACTTCCATGTCTGATCCTGAGTTGGAATTCTGAACCCACAGAGCCTGACCCTGGAGCACCGGAGATATCTAATGTAAAGGTAGCATCAGGGTATTCCTCTATTACTGTGTCAGTCCATTCACTGAAGAGATGGATCTCTACATTTTCCACCTGAAATAAATAGCTCTGTTCCAAGCTTTTAATTATAAATGGGAAGGGAAGAGTACAGCCACTTTCTCTCCATGTAGTCTTTTATCCTCATTAATAATGGATATTTTGCCCCATGGAGGTGCTATTTCAGAATAGTCAGAGTCTCGCTTTGATTGATGGCTCATAGACTTCTTCACAAGGCAAGTCAATATCCTGCCTTTTCTATTGCCCTTCCCACAGCAAAGATTCAGGGCTGAGATGGAACATCACAGCATTATCACTCTTCCTGACTGCTCTCCTGCCCACCTTTAGCAGCCGCACAGGGCGGAACGTGTTTGTACAACAGGGAAGTCCTTTGCCTGCTGCGTGTTGACCAACGGTGAGGCAGGTTCTGCCATGCAGCTCCCACTGAGCACAACTGGAATGAGGCAGGAGAACAACAAAGACAAAGCAGTAACACCTTGTACTGCAAACACCTATTAATGATGTTCCACAGAGCCCCTGGTGAGCAGCCTCAGCCCAGCCTCTGCTGCAGGTAGCACACAAAGACTGCAGGACTTAATGAGAGACAGAGTGGATTCCATCAGTTTCTTGTTCTGACTATAATACCAATGTGGAGTATTCTCTTAAGAAAACAGGTCTGTACAGCATTAATCAGCTCCTGTTTCCTGCTGCAACATACAGGGACCGCTCTAGTTTCATTATGTGATTTTAGTTCCTTCTCTCAGCACTGATTTAATATAATGCTGTGTGCTGCTTTAACAAACTGAATTCTAGGAAGCTACTCAGAGGTCAAGCCCCCATTTGTGAAGTTAGCAGGAGTTTTGTCACAGGCATCAAAGAAAGCCTGAGGAGCTCAGGAGCAGGAACAGGATGAGTCAATGGGATGCAAAGAGTAGGAGCAAAGAGCGACCAAGTCTTCCCCGATGGTTTGAAGAAAACAAGAGAGCCTTGGCTGGCTGCTGGTCATAGAATCGTAGAATCATAGAATAGTGAGGGTTGGAAAGGACCTTAAGATCATCCAGTTCCAACCCCCCTGCCATGGGCAGGGACACCTCACACTAAACCATGGCACTCAAGGCCTCGTCCAGCCTGGCCTTGAACACTGCCAGGGGTGGAGCATTCACAACCTCCCTGGGCAACCCATTCCAGTGCCTCACCACCCTCACAGGAGAGAATTTCCTCCTTAGATCCAATCTAAACTTCCCCTGTTTCAGTTTGAACCCATTACCCCTTGTCCTGTCACTGCAGTCTCTAATGAAGAGTCCCTCTCCAGCATCCCTATAGGCCCCCTTCAGATACTGGAAGGCTGCTATGAGGTCTCCACTCAGCTTCTCTTCTCCAGGCTGAACAGCCCCAACTTCCTCAGCCTGTCTTCACACAGGAGGTGCTCCAGCCCCTGATCATCCTCGTGGCCTCCTCTGGACTTGTTCCAACAGTTCCATGTCCTTTGTATGTCGAGGTCCTTGTGCTCATCCTCAGGAAACACTCCCAGAGAAGCTGCGCCGTTCCTGTTTGGCACAATCATGAAATAAAGGCTCTGCAGAGTGAGAGGACTCCTTTTTGAAGCCCCACAAGAAACAAATGCAAATGATTTTATGCCGGTAACAGGAGCAGACCTGGAGCACCTTGAAGGGAGAACGGAAACCTGGCAGCGCAGACTGATGTAGAGCCCTGAAGAAACACTTCACACAGCCAGAGTTTGTGTTGGATGCTGATGGATCACATGGAGCAGTTCTAATGCCTGTCCCAGGGCGCAGCAGGGTTGTGAAAACATGCAGCAAGAGCTGCTGCCTTTAGCTAACAGCTACAGGGTTACAAAATCACACAGAGGGAATTCTGCCCTCCAGCGCAGTGGTGAACTGAAGGGGGTTGTGGTACCACTATGGGCTTGCCAATTTACTAAGAGGCAAAGAGCATGTTTGAATCTCTGTTCCTGTGCTATCGTGCCATTTCTCTCTGTGCTATCATGCCATTTCTCTCTGTGCTATCGTGCCATTTCTCTCTGTGCTATCGTGCCATTTCTCTCTGTGCTATGATGCCATTTCTCTCTGTGCTATCGTGCCATTTCTCTCTGTGCTATCGTGCCATTTCTCTCTGTGCTATCATGCCATTTCTCTCTGTGCTATCGTGCCATTTCTCTCTGTGCTATCGTGCCATTTCTCTCTGTGCTATGATGCCATTTCTCTCTGTGCTATCGTGCCATTTCTCTCTGTGCTATCGTGCCATTTCTCTCTGTGCTATCGTGCCATTTCTCTCTATGCTATCATGCCATTTCTCTCTGTGCTATCGTGCCATTTCTCTCTGTGCTATCGTGCCATTTCTCTCTGTGCTATCGTGCCATTTCTCTCTATGCTATCGTGCCATTTCTCTCTGTGCTATGATGCCATTTCTCTCTGTGCTATCGTGCCATTTCTCTCTATGCTATCGTGCCATTTCTCTCTGTGCTATCGTGCCATTTCTCTCTGTGCTATCGTGCCATTTCTCTCTGTGCTATCGTGCCATTTCTCTCTGTGCTATCGTGCCATTTCTCTCTATGCTATCGTGCCATTTCTCTCTGTGCTATCGTGCCATTTCTCTCTGTGCTGACATGCCATTTCCCTCTGTGCTGACATGACACTTCTCTCAATGTTCACTCTTTGCAGGGTAACCTTGTATGCCGAATTCCTTCCAATGAAAGCCAGAGCAAAATGCATTTTACTAATAGAGGTGAGCAGTGTGGCTGTGTCCCCAGAGGGGCAAATTCTGCTGTTGGTTACATCCATTCAATCCTACTGACCAGAAACATCACCCGCAGCTGCAGTCAGATCTTGCTTGTCCAAGTGAGTGTGGAGCTGAGGTTGCACCGTGCACTAGTGGTAGCTCAGGTCCAAAGCTGCATAAAGCATTCATGTAACATTCCACTCTTTGTACCTTGGCTTGCATCCAGTGCTGGGTAAGTTACTGCTGTTTGCACAGGGGGCATTTGGGTGTCACCTAATTTCATGGGGAAATTAATCTGAGTGATGAAGAGTGCAGAACTGACTGTTCAGTAAATGCAGGGCTAAATTCAGCTCCCCATATTCAATCCAAATGCATCAAAGTCACAGAGAGCAGGATTCTGCCCTATAAATACTTCAAGGCAAAATTCACAACCCTGTAGTGAATGGTGGAAGGGGCAGAACAGTGCTGCTAAGGAGCACCCTTGTGGAACCCCCCCCCAGATTCAACCAGCTCCTCAGTGCAAGCCCAGTCCCTCAGCCACCTCCTGGCAAGGCCTCCATTAGGTTGATTAACACTTCTTAATCAGAATTCAGTAGCTGAAGTGCTCCTTTCTGTGTCACTTCTGTTCTGCCACGGTTTGGCTACCACTGAGCAGCCTTGGGTTAGAAGTATATTCTGAGGGTTAAATAATGAGCTAAGTGGGTTCATAATCTAAAGGGGAATAATCCTTTAGATAAGGGCAGGATATGCAAGAGGATGCCAGCTCCATTATTTGCTGTGAGGGTATCAATTCCTTCTTTCATCTCCGGGACAAAATCTGTGGCTTTGGTAGCTTGGTTTTGGTAAGGAAAGCTAATAAGTCTCATGGTGGTTGCTGGGAATCATACTCAGAGACACATAAATTAATAGGAATTTTGCTGTAGAAACAGCATGTGAAGAGCCCCTTGCTTATGAGGAGCAACCGACAGCTCAACACGAGCGTCTAGAGAAAGAGGATGCTGGGCTTTCAGAAATGAGCATTTCAGCTCCTGCAGCATTTAACCAAACCCCCTGAAAACGGACTCTGTTTCCATGCAGGAGCCCGTGTTTGGAATGTCTCTGGCATTCCTCTGTCCCGTCATGGAATGCTACAAAGCAGGAGGCCTGAAGAGCACTTCCCATTTGTGACTGTTTCTCTTCCCTTTGGCAGGTCTTTTGGGCCATTGGGACGGTGTTTGAAGTCCTCCTAGCAGTGGTGGTGATGCCCACGCTTGGCTGGCGCTGGCTTCTCGTCCTTTCTGCCCTCCCTCTTCTGCTCTTCGCTGTCCTGTGTTTTGTAGGTATTCTGTCAAAGCCAAATCCATGTTCCATCACTTCTCTACCTGATCCTGCAAGCTGACTGAAGGAAATCAGGGCAGTTTTAAGCTCTTTGAAACAGCTGAAATAGTGGCAAAAACGCTGTTGTTTCACCAGGGCGCTGCTGGAAACCTTCCAAAGAGAGCTGTGTCTGTGTGACTGTCATTGCTGGAGGACAAGGGTGGGCTGGGATTTTGTGAAGCCCTGGAAACCTCTCCAGTTTAGTGACTTTGTTCTAACTCTGCTCAGTGGGATCAACATCTCATTAAAAGCTGTTGCTATTTCCTTGCTTTGTGTCAAGATCATCACTTTCATGCTTATTGGCCACTTAAAAACCCTCACCCAAGTCAGGGGCAAAATCTGCATAGGGCAGGTCATGTTCTAATGCAAGGCTAAACCTGAGCATCAGTGCACTGTGAGGTAATGCAGTTGCCTCAAAGATGCATGTCCTTGTCAGGCTGTTCAGCAGCCCTGATTGTTCCTCAGTCACTGACACTGGTTTTCAGGCATATCTCCAGTTATACAGGGGCTTGTTGTCAAAAGGAGCTCAAAAAAAGGAGTTTGGGAGTGCCCAGAGCATCTTGTCCGGGATGCTTTGCCTTTCCTACTGAGGAGGTATGATGTAAAGAGCCTGCAAAAATGCCTAATGGCTCTTGAGAATAAACCTAAGGTAACAGAAGGGAAAGATTTCAGCCTGGAGCTCTGGTTTCCTGGCCAAAGGGGGGTTTTTGCAGGGTCTTAAAGCCTGCTGAGGAGATGGCTCTGGATTCGTAAAGGTTAGTTCTGCAATGCAGTTAGTGCTGGACTCACAGAGCGTTCCCACTGGGAGCCCACAGAGGAACCCCCCAGTGTGTTTATTGCTGTGTTCCTGCCACCCTTGCTCATCTGATCTGCTTTGCTCTCTTAGTGGCTGCCAGAAAGTGCCCGGTATGATGTGTTGTCTGGAAATCAAGAGAAAGCAATTGCCACTTTAAAGCGGATAGCAACGGAAAACGGAGCCCCCATGCCTCTGGGAAAGCTCATTGTTGCCAGGCAGGTACGTACAGGCACGTTAACAGCGTGGGATGCAGTGAAACCGGTGCATTCATGGGTGTTCTTACAAGCAGGTAATCAACGTGAAGTTTAATTGTAGTGTCGGAACGGGTGATGAAGAAGGGTTTGTCTGTGCCTTAGCCACAGGGAGGAAGAGTTGGCTTCTCAGTTTTAATGACGTGAAAATCCTGAAAGGGAAAAGGACCTTTAAAGTGGGCGTTGATGCTCTTTAAGCTCACTCTGAGCCCTGATGGTTAAGGAAACTCAAACCTTGTGGCTGCTGAAGAGCTCGGATCAGAATTCCAAGATCTGAGCTCCTGAGACAAGCTGGAATTTGACTCTTGGGCTCAGTTTTAAACTGATCCTGATGTTCTGCAGCGAGAGAGCTGCAAGCTCCTGCTGCATCCTAATGCGTGGGGTGATTCAGGCTGCTGCTTCCGAGCTGCATGTTATTGTGTGAATTCATTGGGGTCTTTTTCCTCTCAGCTTTACATGGCCAACTTCTCAGCACCCCATCAGCACCCAGAGCAGCTTCACAGAACAGAGACTCCTGTAAGAACAGAAAGTGACAAAGTTGGCCCACGAGGAAGGGCATCAGAGGAAAGCCTGTAGCTATGAATGAGAGCAGAACTGTAAAGCTAGGCAGGAGCCTGCATCTTACTAACCAGAGGTGCAGGTCTGCTTTTCTAAGGGCTGGATCAGGGAGGATTTGAGCTCTTGGGTCCGAGTCCTGCTCTTTGCAGGCTCCCTGGGGAGGAGAAGTGTGGGCCCTGTGCATGAACTGGTCCTGGCATTGCTCTGCTCCTAGAGAATTCTCCTTGGCAGAGGAATTCTTTACTTGGATCCCAGCTCCAGTGTGGCTCACTCTGGCTACACTCATCCTGAGGTGTAGTGCCTAGGACTGTGGGTTGTGTTACCCCTTGCCACTCTGCATCCTCCAGTCCAGGGCCAGTGAATATCCTGACCCTCTGACTTCTGCTTCTTTTCAACAGGAAGACCGGGGGAAAATGAGGGACCTTTTTACACCCCATTTTAGATGGACCACGTTGTTACTCTGGTTTATATGGTAAGAAGAAATACAAACGGCCCTGTGCCAGCACAATTCTAAGTGGTTTTTTTAATGGAGGTATTTTACAGCATCGCTAAAATACAGCAAAAAAAACCCAACCTGTATTGATTTGTGATTTATAAACCCACCCATCAGTAGCATTCCCAATCTAATTGCCCTGTCGTTTTCTAAATGCTAAGAGGAAATAGCTTTGAGGGAGCACTTAAGTGGGAGTCCTCACACAGTGGGTTCAGTTGTGATTCATGGTGTTTCCTGTAGGCTTGGCCAGCTGAGACTTCCTCTCCTGTTTTCTTCCTTGCAGGTTTTCCAATGCTTTTTCATATTATGGGTTAGTTTTATTAACTACAGAGTTCTTCCAAGCAGGAGACGTCTGCAGCAGTGAGTACTGCTCTTTCTCTTAACCATACCCTGTTCGGTGGTGGGATGTCCCTTTCTGCTGTGTGGAAAGGACCGTGGCTCCCAGCTGGAATTGTAAGGGATCTGCTTAAGGGGTTACTCGTTTTAAACGTTTCTGATGGGCCTCTTCCTCATCCCCTGCACACTGCAGAGGGGTCCTGCACTGTCTGTGAGCCCAAAGTGTAAAGCAGGAAGAGAACCTTCAAGGGAGCCCTGTTAGCAAAGTATCTTTCTTCTTGAGAAAGAGGTGTTGGAATGAAGGTAAGGTTCCAGATCTGAGAGGCCTCATTGGCTCGGAGAGAGCTGCTGTGGCTCTCCCAGGTCCTCAAGACGGGAAGAAAGATGATGGAGGGGAAGCATTGCCCTTTTGTGGCAGGTTTTTGTAGTCAAGAGACTAAAAGTGCTTTGGCTGCATTAGGAAGAGGCTGGAAGAGTCTGAGCCCCCAGGGGAGGTGTGGTTGTGTTCACAACACCTGTAATTAGTGAAGGCTGCCTGACAGCTGGAAAATTACAGGAAAGGGAGGGATAGGATTGGGAAAAGACACGATCCCAAGCTTGTACACCGGTGTATTGCCTATTGGAGGGGTCTGGCTCTGGTCAGCCTGCACAAAGGAGCATGCATCCATTAAAGATACTTGGTTTTACAGAGACACAGCATTATTGAGTCTTGTCAAAGTCCAGCTGAGGTGTTAACATCCCATTTTGTGCGGGGATAAACTGAATTATCGATGTTAATTCTGTCCATTGTCATGAGCTCCGGACTGAAAATGAACTGAGCCTGTAGAGCTGGGGAGGAAGGGTGAGCTTTCACTGTGGCAGTGCTGGCTGCAGAGGTGTCACATCCTGCCACAAGTGCCATTAGCAACTGTTCAGGTCCAGCTGCATCCTCCAGGTAGAGCACCCGTGCTGTGCAGCAGGGTCTTGTCAGTACATCCCTTCTGTGTAGTGCATCCCTTCTATGTACATCCCTTGTCAGCAGTAAGAGTGATAAAGACAAAGCAGGAGCAAAGGAAGGTAAGCAGAGAAGAGGTTACTTAAAGTACACGAAGTGCTTGTTCTGTTCCTTTTGCCTCCCACAGTATCCAGTAAAAGGAAAGAAGTGAAGGCCAAGTGCAGCCTGACCTGTGAGTACCTGACAGAGGAGGACTACACTGACCTGCTCTGGACAACCCTGTCTGAATTCCCTGGTGAGTGCCAATAGGAAGCACTGGTTCTTCACTGCCAGTGGCTCCGTGTGATTGGAATGGGCTCTGCAACAAGCAGGGAAATGGGCTCTTCTCTCTGGCCTAATGCCAGTGTTGTATCTCCTGCAGCACTGGAGCTCCTTGGTTGGACTACTTGATAACTGCAGCGCACACAGTAGCTGTAGCTCCTGTCACTGCCTGTGTGATCCCTACAGATAAAATCACTAGTAATTGCTTTGTGAAGCCATAATGACACATCCACATAATGGATCCCATCCAAAGAGCAGATCAGGCATTCAGAGGAAGAGTAACAATTAAATCAAAGGGGCAGAATCACTTCAACTTCTGTCCATAAGGGACTTTCCAGAGCTATTGTAAAGGGATCGTGGGCAGAGTGAATCAATGGAGACCTTGCTCGCAAAGCTCCGTGCCCATCTCAGTCATGATCTTCAGTCGATTCCAGTGAGTGTCAGGGGACAGTCTGACACACAATAAGTACCCACAGGCTCTTCAGATGCAGAGGGTGATCTGTCTGGAATAATACTGTGAGGCAATGGCCAGGTGATTTTCACGGTTCTAGATTATAGTTTCAGCTCAAAGAGAAGCCATTTAACTGGTGAAGAGTTGTAAGTCTATGATGAATATGCACAGTTGCTACTTAACATAGGAGGACTGTCCTGCACAGCAGTTGTTCAGGGAAGGATGTCAATGGACAGTGGGCAGAAAGAGGGTGTGTACTCTTGGACTGATGCTATAGCTGACAGGACTGATTTGCTCCTGATACATACTAAGATAAGAGAAACATTACCAGGGATACCTCTGGATATGACCCTGGAAACTCTGCTGCTTGAGTTATCCCCATGCTTGCTGCACATCAGCTTTTAAAGGGATCTGGAAAAGCTGCATAAGGGAGAATACTGACCAGTGTGAGACTTAGAGAGCTTGGTGTTTCCTTTATCAAGGAGCAGGTGAGAAATAATCTGATGGCAGCATGTAAGTAACACAGGGAAGAGAATGCTAAGTTGTAAAGAGCCCTTAAACCTTGCAGTAGGAAGAGTTAGCAGGGAGCAATGCTCAGAAGCTGAACCAAAGATATCCCAATGAGATAGAAGGCAGGCATTTTAGCACTCGTTTTGGTAGCCACTGCAATAGGCAGTGGTTAAGCCATGTCAGAGTTGACTGCTCACTCCTACATCAGCCCTTAGCCCCTGAGTGTGTGGACGTGTGGACCAGTGGGGATGTGAACGTGGAACAAGACTCACAGGGCTTCTGTTTGCATGTGGCCCCGATAGCTGGAGCAATCCATTGGCAACGCTTTGCCTGGTGCCTCTGCTGGCAAAGTGCTTTAAAGAAAGAGAGAACAAGGTTTCCAACGCGAGGTAGCCAGCCTGTGTGAAAAGCTGTCTCCATGCCCACCTCTGCTCCCTTCCCAAGCCCGTGTCCTTCCACAGGTGTGTTGGTGACGCTGTGGATCATTGATCGGATAGGCCGCAAGAAAACCATGGCCCTGTCCTTCGTTGTCTTCTCGCTTTGCAGCCTTCTGCTGTTTCTCTGCGTTGGAAGGTAAGGAAAACACGGTGAGCAATGGGTCTGTCTGGTTCATCTGGGCTCTCTCTTGGTTATGGCAGAACTGGAAGTGGTGGTTTGCCAAGCCAGGAGGTCGTGCTTGACTGGAGGGAGCATTAAGGATGGTGTTAGGTTTTCTACACCAGTTTGGAAGGCAACTAAAAGAAGCAGGAGAGGAGGAATCCTTCTCTATAACCTTTCAGACAGAGCAATCCAAAGGGCAAAATGAGGGCTTGTGTCTGAGCAGGAGGTAACCATTGCACAACTTTAAATCAGATCTGATGTCATGAGCCTTGGGAGCTGGTTCATGCACTGCTCTCTGCCAGTCACTACCTATAGCTCCCCATGCTGCTGGATAGTCATTGCCAGGGCAGTGCTTCACAACCAAGCCCAGTCTCTGCTCCCATTCAGCTGCTCTGACTGCATCTGGCCTTGATGCCACGTGCATGTGACAGTGTCTGTGCCTCAGGACCGATGGACAAGGAGAGGACCTGACAGCCAGAGGAGAGCTCTGTGATTTTAAACCCGTTCACAGGAACCCTGGGATAAGAAACCTCCCAAAGTCACAAACATCCAGGCAGTCTGGAGGTTCCTGTCTTTTAAACAGCTTTTAAGCTGCACTCCCATTGCCTTTTCCTGTGTGCCACCTTTTTGTTAGCACCATTCATACCACGGAATGGGGTTTTCTCATTTAGCTACGTTTCAGCCTTTGCTGCTTGTTTCCATGGGCCACAGCTGCCAGGAGGAATGGATGCGCTTGGTGAGCTGATGTGGTTGTGGGAATGCAGGTTGTTTGGCATCATTGTTGTATGGAAGGTCCAGAAACAAACACAGAGGGTTCATTAACACCCAAACGAAGTAGTTCAAACGCAATTGAGGGCTTTTATTGCTCTTGCCTCCAAGTTAAACAAACGGATTGTCCCGAACCAGCCCAAACACTGCTCTCCTTTTTGTTCTCCCAGGAACGTTCTTACTGTGCTGCTCTTCATTGCAAGAGCTTTTATTTCAGGAGGATTTCAGGCTGCTTATGTTTACACCCCGGAGGTAAGGAGGTTGGGTTTGGAATGAGAATGCTTCAGGGGAGCGAGACCATGGTGGGAAAGTCGTTTTGCCTGCCCTCTCCACAATGGACCTTACCCCAGAATGAGCTGGTGATCTCCTGGTCCTTGTCTAACAGAACTCGCTGTAGTTCCACTTGTTGAGTTCCATCGATTTAGGAGGCTGGAGGGAAGAGAACTTCCCAGGGGTGTTAATGGACCGGTGCTTTGTTCCCAGGTTTATCCCACAGCCACGCGCGCGCTGGGGCTGGGAACATGCAGTGGAATGGCCCGAGTGGGAGCCCTCATAACCCCCTTCATTGCACAGGTAAAAAACCCTTCTCCTGGGTGCCAAGGCAGGGGAAGGGGAGGGAGAAGCTGCTGTTCTGCTGCAGGGGCCAAACCAAGGGCGAGCTGTGCGGGATGTGTTAAAGCAGGGCTGCTGTTGCTTGATCCTTGAGGGGAGTTCAGGCTCATCCCTGGATTTGCCTCTTCCTCCGTTGCCCTGTATGTTGGGGGCTGAATAAGCAAGCAGCAGGCTGCAGGATGGATGGAAGGACACCTTGGAGGCCATGGGAGAGGCAGGGAGTTCCTGTGTGTGCTGCAATGCCACCTCCCTCCTGGGATCCCGGACTGAGGTTCTGGAGGGTACAAACCTGCAGGGGATGTGGAAGGAGCTGGAGAGGGGTTTAGGGGAGCCCAGGTGCACAGGGACAGGATGGTGTCAGAACCAGCGGCTCTGCAGAGGGCCAGGATTTGCTTAAGATCCTGGGATTTGCTTAAATCCTGCCTAACGTGTAAGGGCAGCAGCACCTCGGGGCACTGCTCTGTCAGTGTTTAATAGCTGTGTGTAACCGCTGAGGAAAGGAAGTGTGCAGCAGTGAGTGTTAAACACGCTGCCAATGCTGTAATTAAAACCTCTGCTGCCACCCCAGTGTCTCTGTTTCTGTGACGGGGCCATGGGGAGCTGGTTTCTATCTCCTGCCTTTTTCCTGCAGGTGATGTTGGAATCTTCAGTCTATTTAACGCTGGTGGTTTACAGTGGATGCTGCCTGCTGGCCGCTGTGGCTTCCTGCTTCTTGCCCATTGAAACCAAAGGCCGTGGCTTACAGGAGTCCAGCCAGAGGGAATGGGGACAGGAGATGGTTGGGAGAGGATCTCAATCGCCAGCGGTCACCAGGTCTAACTCTGGATCGCAGGAATGATGGGACATGGAAACCTGCTGGAGGAACGAATGACCTGAGCAAGTTCTTTCACACACACCCCAACCCTGAAGCATAGGAAGCTGACCATCCTGTCACTGCCAATGTCGTGTGTCAAACTGCAGGAACCTTGGGGTTCAGCCCAAGCCAGTTGTGTCTCTGCTGCCCTTTGCTCACACTCATAAAGACTTTACTTCAGTATGGAGAGGCGTTTGATCCAGATATCATTTGAAGTTTAGCAGGAAGGGGTTTTCTTAAGTCTGTTGTGCTTGCATGGTCAGCTCTTCGGCTTACAACGTCCCGTGGCGAGCAAATAGCCAACTGAATGCAACTCAGTATAAGCTGTAATTAAAATCCTGTACTCTTGATGCCTAAAAACCAAAAGGTTAGTATTTATTGTGTCCCTGCCATAGCACACGGTGGATTCCACACACTGCAGAGTAGGTTTTATGAGTTAGATGCCTGCCTTGCACTTTCTAGCCCTCGCCACCACCACCTGACAACGGCACACCAGCCAATGCATCCTGGTTCCTTGGGAATGAAGCACGGATTGCTTGGAACCTGTTTCCTGGATGTTTCCCCCATCCGAGGCAGGCGGATGGAGTCAGTGAGGAGCGGTGTTTGTCACGGAGCTGGAACCTTACAGAAGAGATGTGAATCCTCCTGCCTTGGAGCAGAGCTTGGCTTCTCTATGAGCGCTCTGCGTGTCGCTTGGGGAAGACTGCTCCAGCTGCCCTGGTGTCTCTCTGCGGGTGGAGGGGCACGCTCTGGTCTTCTGCATGGGTCCGGGTATGTCTCTGCTCCATTGGCCTCAGTGTGTTCTCACAGTGGTGTGGCCCAAACCTGTGATAAACCACCTCAGCCTAACAGCAGTGGGATGGAGCTGCTTTCAGGTGTCTCCCAGCAGAGGCTGGCCTTGGGGCAGCTGGGCAGGACTTCTTGGTAGCTGCTGATTGTACATCGACCTTAAGCTGGCCTCGAAGTAAGTGAATCAAGAGCATGGGATGAGCCAAGCAACAATACTTGGAGCATTGTGTGCAGTTCTGGTGTCCTCGACATACAAAGGACATGGAACTGTTGGAACAAGTCCAGAGGAGGCCATGAGGATGATCAGGGGCTGGAGCACCTCCTGTATGAAGACAGGCTGAGGAAGTTGGGGCTGTTCAGCCTGGAGAAGAGAAGGCTGCGTGGAGACCTCAGAGCAGCTTCCAGTATCTGAAGGGGGCCTATAGGGATGCTGGGGAGGGACTCTTCATTAGGGACTGTGGTGACAGGACAAGGGGTAACGGGTTCAAACTGAAACAGGGGAAGTTTAGATTAGATCTAAGGAGGAAATTCTTTCCTGTGAGGGTGGTGAGGCACTGGAATGGGTTGCCCAGGGAGGTTGTGAATGCTCCATCCCTGGCAGTGTTCAAGACCAGGTTGAACAAAGCCTTGGGTGCCATGGTTTAGTGTGAGGTGTCCCTGCCCATGGCAGGGGGGTTGGAACTGGATGATCTTAAGGTCCTTTCCAACCCTCACTATTCTATGATTCTAAACTGCAGTCTAGCTTAGAGGAGGAACTTCATCAGGTGTAGCTCCTCAAGGCTGATGATCAGAGAATATAACAGCATTCAGGTGGGGAGGAGCTTGCCTTCTTTGTCAGAAGCCTCTCACCGTGCAGGAGGTCAGATATCTGTGGCTGTGTGTGAGGAAGCTGTGACCTGTCTCAGTTTATTTCCAGGATTCCAGGCTCCGGAATACACAACCAAATGTGAGTGAGGTGGACGCAATGCGAATCACTAGGCTATGGGATGCAATGCACTTCTATAGTGCTCAGTTGTCTCATGCAGACACAGCGTGCACCAGGTTTCTGCACAGTGGAATATTTAGGGAACCAGGCCCCTTTTGTGGGGGGCAGGAATGGGTGACTGAGTCTGTGTTTGGGTGCAGTACCAGTGGGCACAGTTGGGGTTCAGCTTTCCCTCGGGGTTTTGTGGCACTGCGGTAGGATGCTCAGGATGCGGTAGGATGCTGGGGGTGCCTTAGGCTGTTTGTTACAGCACTGCAGGGAAATGAGAAGTGGACGATTCCTCAAAGAAACTGAGGAACCTCAGAGTAATGAGGAGAGGCCGAAGAGGCTGTTAGCACTGGAATGGGTTGCCCAGGGAGGTTGTGAATGCTCCATCCCTGGCAGTGCTCAAGGCCAGGCTGGATGAAGCCTTGGGTGCCATGGTTTAGTGTGAGGTGTCCCTGCCCATGGCAGGGGGGTTGGAACTGCATGATATTAAGGTCCTTTCCAACCCAAACCATTCTATGATGTTCTGTGTGGGGTACCCTGTGCCGAGAAGGGCTGAAGCTTGATGAGGCACCGCAGTGTCTGCCCATTCATTTCCTGCAGCACCAGACCCCAGGTGCGGTTGGTCCAAACACCAACCTTCCCTTTCCTCCGCACCAGGGAAGTGCAGTTCAGCTCCCGGGGGATCCCGCTTTAGATGTGGCTGATGGAAGCACAGAGCCTGGTCTCTGTGCTGGTTCTCTCTGTCCCTGCTGTCTCTGTCTGCGTGCTCAGCCCAGCAGCTGTTACCAAGCACCTTTAGTTAAGGTTCTGCTTTCCCACTGTTAATCTTCACACATCACCTGGGGTTTTGGGGGCAATATTTAACAGCTGAAAGGACTGCATTGCAGTGGCCTTCAGAGCGTGCACTCAGAGAGGTTTAGGTGAAGCAGATACAGCTCATACATTTGCTTCAGATTAAACATTTCCCAGGTAAAGATTTATAGGTGATGAGAAACCTTTGGGTGCTGTTGAGTGGTTCAGTTTTAACCTGTGACGTTTACAGTGTTAAAAATAATTGTAGGCATTTCTGCTTTCCACTTTGTACGAATTCTGCATTGAAAATGTATTTAATAAGTGCCAAGACTGGTCCTGCTGCAACATCTTCATACGCTGGCTCTTTGGGTGAGAGATGGTGGTGCCTAAAGCAGGATAAAAGCTCACTGAGGCCTGGGACAATCTCCCATGCTCTGGATGAGCTGAGCAGGGTGGTCAGGAGCCTGCCACAGTTCATCAAACAGCGCTGAAATTCAGGTTCTGCATGTTCCTGCGTGTTATTGATAACGGGAGGATGGTTTGGGTTGTTCACTGATAAACCAGCCAGCATTTGGGGTTGTACACAATAGCCTATAAATAACCACAGGTCATATTTTGTTAATATGGCAACACCATTGATGTACATAAGAAGCTTCCAAAGATGGTTTTACACACCCTTGAGTCTTTTTCACTGATGAATTACTATAGCTTGTTCATTTCAAACAATGAAGGGAGATCCAGTCGAGAGCAAACAGCACTGGGGGGGGTCAGGGGTTTGCTGAGTGTCTGATACGTTCCCATCCAAAGCTGGTGTTGGGGACAAGAATCTCCCCGTGTGCTTTGATGGAGGGGTTTGTCATTCCTCAAGAGCACGGGATGTTTCCCTGGGTCTGGATGTACGGTTTCTATGCTGGATACGTTTCAATGTTGGAGAACTTTGTGTATCTGAAGCTCGTTGTAAAATACTCCCTCTGCTCCCAGGTTACGCGACCCTGAGAGTTTGATTCCACACTGGCTATTTTCTGTCGAACAAATAAATAGCTTTTTCAGTAAAGAGGCTTTGGGCTGGTCTGTGCAGGGGCAGCAACTTCACCACTTCCTTGCCTTGATGCTGAGCCCCAGCTTGTTGTGCGAGGGCTCAGCGCTCTGCGGCTCCAAGTCCTTCTCTGCGTGTTTGGACAGAAAGCGATAGGAAGCACAAGCAAGCTCCCAGATAAGCACACCTGAACGTTCCCTTCCTTACTCACCTGCAGGTCTTTAGCTGCTTTCTGCGTTCCAGTCAGTTTGGACAATAAGAACCAGTCCGTTTGGCTGCTTGCCTGTGGGGAAGTCCCGGTGATGCCTTTAATGCCGCAGCGGGCGAGCACAGAGGTGTGTTGGGAGGAGGCAGCTCCAAGTGTGCCCGGGCTGGGCACTGCTTATTTACCCTTTCATGGAAGCTTCTCTTTCCCCTCTCTCGTTCCTATAAACCCCGGGCAAGCACATCCCCCTCGCTGCGTTCCTCTGCCCTTTAAATCATACTCTTACACTGAGGTCTATTGCAAACACGAGGCTGCTGCTGACCCGGTGACGAAGGAGCTGCACGTACTCCGCACCGACCGCAGAGCCTTCTCATCGCCCTGTGCCTTCAGCTTCCTCGTGCAGCCCCGACAGGCCTCTGGGATGCAGCCTCCTGTTCCTGGGAATGGGAAGAGCTTGTAAGTGTGGAAGGGTTTGTGTCCCGGAGCGACGCTGAGGGAGAGGGTTTGTTCTCTGGTGTTTTACTGGGAAGCTTTTGGCCTCCTCGGGCACTTCTAAAGCTTGCTCTGATTTCCCGAGTGCTCTTTGCTCGCTGAGGGTAACTTTGCTGGTACTTGACGTGATTCCAGCTTTGTTCTGTGTCCCAGGCGAGCGCTGTCGGAGTGCACAGAATCTGCTGATGCTGGAGACGGTTTGTGCTGCCGAGGAGCCCGGTGCAGCGCCTGCATCCCGCTGCCTCCTTCACTTCTGCTGGACCACGGAGCTGAACCTCGCTCTTGTGGCTCTTCACTCCCACCACGTCCCACCTGTGGCTGCCACCAGCGTAAGACCTCTCCCATTGCTCTGCCTGCAGAGCAGAGCCATGGGGTGAGCTACACCAGCAAGTCCCACCCGTTTCTGCCCAGGACTGTGAGTTCTTAGCGGACCGGATGCCATTAACCCCCAACACCTCATGTTCCATGGTGCTATCCCGGCCCCCTTTGTCTGTTTGGAATCTAGAGCCATGTCTCTTCCTCCTGCAGGACGGAATCGTCAGGAAAAATGCATGTGGAGACATGGAATGAAGATCTCCAGGGGTGTTTCCATGGAATTAGCGTTTCCAGCCCTATCCATGGCATCATTGAGAAGAGACGGCTCCACACACGAGGTTTTTGAACATTACCTTTATTGTGCACACCTATAAAAGTGTGGCCTTTCAGGGAACAAGCACAATCAGCCTGCGCTGAAAATCACTCAGGAATCACTTCTGTTTGCGTTCTAGGCTCAGACCCTCCTGGAGCACTCCCCATCCCTTCGGGAAGCACCGAGGCAGCTCCAGCGCCACTCCATATCCCACAGCGAAGATGCTGAAGAGCCCATGGGAGTTTTAGGGCTGAGAACGGCTATTTTGGGTGTGCTCCTGCTATATATAGAGCCTGGCAAGCGCGCAGGGCTGGGACGTGTTGCTTTTGTTGCTAAAAACAGCATTTGGGGAGCCCGTTTTAGGCAACTGCTGCTGTCTGTTGCCAGCAACGCTAACCAGGTGCTGCGCGCCCGGGCTCTGTCCTGGCTCCAGCATGAGGAAAGCCGCTGTAAGTGCAGCACGTGCTGCTGGTACCTCCCTGGGAGCTGCAGGGCTGCTTCCTACTAAGGAGCTTTTGCCTCCTGGGGGAAGCTTGCAAACCTAATTACACCCTGGGTGTTGGAGCAGGCACTGGAGACCTCAGGTGGCACCGGCTCAGTGTCCCGTCATGCAGGTGAACCACAGGAGGGTCAGGATTCCAGCTGAGCCCTGCCTGCCCTCTGCAGAGTGATCCCAGACATGAGTGCACTGTGAAGCAGGCAAATAGGCCGTGGTTTAAAGCGCTGCCTCTAGGTAGGTTGTGCTTGGCTGGG